AAAAAAACCTTAAGCTAATTTAATACAATAAAATAAAATACATTGGAGGACTAGTCCTTCAAACGCAATTTGACTGAGACGACATTTTTGCCTTTATAAACCTATGTGCAATATGGCCAGTGGGAACATAATTGTGAAGACTTGGTATGAATAGGTTCTGATATTGTATATATGATTGTTGCAAATAATACCAACACGAAAAGAGGTAATAACATTAAGTAATGTTTAGTAATATTTACTGATGAATGTTGTATCACTGAAAACAGTTTTTGGCCTAACATCATAAAACATGAACTAGAGATTGAATTTATTTACAATAAAGTTCATGTTCATTTCTGTTCTTCTTTTATACTATACGACCTGAACACTCGCCAAATTATAACATGTGGAAGAAAAGTAAGGACTATTTATAACGAGGCTGTAATATATCCATATCGAGGATCTCATATCGTCGTATTCATTGTTTATTTCCTTGCAGGTGACAGTAGTATATTCACCAGCGATGGTGAATGGGATATGATATCACTGTCATCAACAAATAACGTAATGGTTTACCCGGATGAGCCAGGTGTGCCATACACTGACGTCACCTATGGTATACTGTTAAGTCGCCGGGCAGTATTTCACGTGATAAACCTGCTATTGCCCTGTGGATTACTCACAGCCTCCACGGCCCTTGTCTTTTTTCTGCCCGTGGAATCCGGTGAAAAGATCAGTTTTGGAATCACAATTTTGCTGTCGTTGACGGTATTTCTCTTACTCCTAGCTGAACTCATGCCCCCATCGAGCGTCATACCCATTGTGGGTGAGTAATAAGTGTACTCCTCGGAGAGAATCTATGCAATTAATTATTTTCTTGTTTTACTTAGTTTTGAGAGTTAAGTTTTATTATGTTGCTGTATTTTTCTGATTTCTTATATTACGCACTCACATTTTTGTGTCTTTTCTGTCATTGATCTCGCAATGGCCGCCGAAGTCTCGTTGAAAGCGTGAGAACAACATAATATTTCCTGTCACCACTTGCGAGAGAAAATGGAACACTATTTCGGAGGCCAAGCAAATCACGTGATTTTCTCACTGTTTCTATGATCTCGGCAAACATTTATTGTACATTTATTTACAAAATCTTCTACCTTCTAGAGTTTCTAATGGTCAGATATTGTAATATTTAAATTATTCAAAACAGTAGCAGTTTAAATAATCAAATCTCTTTCAATGGAAACGTAACACTACCCACGTTTGGGTTTTCAAAACCAAGTTATACTTTGAAAAGCTATGGTAAATAAATGTGCGTTAAATTAGTTCCACTAGAACCATTGTTCCGTAATATCTGTACGGTATGCAGTTACATTACCTCCTGTCAGACACTTATCTGTTCAAATATAATATCATGTGCGATATATACAATTTCTTGTTTTGGGGGCAAGACTAGTCGCTGCTAGGCAACATCTGAAGCTTGTGTGTCATTGTTTTGATATTCTCGCTCTTCAAATTACTGTGACATTTCGACAGATTGAAATACGGATGCTAGATATATATGTCACTTGTCATATACAATAAACTGTTCATTAAGTCCGGAAAACGCGTGCTGTCTGTATCGTATTCATGTGCTGAGAAGAATCCGATAAACCCGTTGATTCACATCCACCGTGTCATTCACCATACGTATTCACGTGAACGTTACATTATATCAAGCCACACACCTGCTTTGCCGTTTATTCAATCTCGATACTGGACAGCAATGTCGTCAAACTACCATGTCTGTCATTTCTGTTTGCCTCGTTGTTTGCACAAAAAATGTTGGTTCTGTTTACAGTAACAAACCTTCATTTTGTACATGAACGAGTCTACGCACACACTGTTGCAAGTTCATTGCGATCACACCCATACAATTTCACTTAGTTTACACCATAGACTTTTTTACTCGCAAACCCGTTCTTGAGTCTACATGCACGCAAATGAATTGCTATAAATTATCAATATCGCTATTTCAACATAATAATATTTCATATGTGCATTACAGACACTATCGTTACTTCATCTGATTTCAAAATTGTATTCGATTTTACCTGCATACACCGAAAAAGAGAATAATAACAAGTTTCTGGTCAATTTGTTTTCTAATCGGCGCGGACGAGCGGTGTTTTAATTTAAAATTGTAATAGGTGTGTTTTAATATTGATCATGTTGTATTTCATCTGTACAGGTCAATTCTATGCTGTGTCCATGGTTCTAGTCTCACTCTCAGTTGGAGTGTCCGCAGCTGTGGTCAACATTCATCACTGTGGACAGCAGAGGTCACGGGTGCCATGTTGGGTCAAGAAGTGGATTATACACAAGCTTGGAAGACTGATAGGAATACGGATAAAACGTAAATGCAAACGTGATTACACGGTGTATGCCCGTAATAAGAACATAAAGCGGTCGCCAAATGCTAAAACAAACGATTCTTCACAAAGTCCGTTGTTGCCCCGTGATCGTGATGATAAGGAAAATGGCGCAATTCTAAACGAAATCGAATCATGCGGCAGAGTATTGCACAGGGATGTGTTGAAAATAAGACAATATTTCGACCATCTGAAACACGAAGAAGACGTAAGAAAAGAATGGCGACTTGTTGCCATGGTAGTGGATCGTTTATGTATGATTGGGTACGTGGTGTGCATTGTTGGGTGTACAGTCACCATAATAATTCACATCCAGTATGATACGTGAGAACTACGTGTACGGTATGTGTGTATACGTAGTATGTTCATGAGAACTACGTGTACGGTATATGTGTATACGTAGTATAACAAACACACGTTGAATACGTTGGTACTATCAAGCATATCATGTTAACCACTACATTATGCTCACATGTTAGTAACATGACTACTCAGTCATCCCGTATTGTTCGTATTATCACTGTGATAATTCAGAGTCAAACGAATCTTAATATCACATCATTTGATTACTGTAACACGTGACTGTTGAGGAGACTGCGCAGTGGAAAGAGAAAATACACATACTATTGTTTCTCGTAATATTTCAACTTACCAGGACATACGTGTAATTTATATAATCGACTAATCAGGGAAGTCCTGTAAAAACGAAAGACAAAGTGTGTTGCCTAGGAAACAATAATGATAGGTTATTTTCACGAGAAAGATACACGCGATTCAAGTTCATGTTTACGAATTATTAGAGCGCCCTCAACGTATCTATATTCGCAAAGTGGTAGACGCGATGTGATATAACACATATTTATACATAATTCAATTTATTATTTCAGAGAGGTGTAAATCTATTTCACATTGATGTAATTTTACGTGTGTAAATCTGCACACATTAAAGCAGGGTAGACGTCACATTCTTGTATTTTTTCTTCAAATATCAGTACTAATGTGAGTGACCAAAACCAACGTCATAACACAGAAGGTTGGAACACTTGCCTAAATATTCACGCACAATTTAGGCACAATTAGTACCACTAATATCACACTTGAATTTTATGTACATATCAGTATAAGTTTAATACTTCCATGATAATATGCATGATCATTATTCAGCAGTAAACAGTATTTACTAAAGTATATTTCAAAAAAAAATGTCGGGTGAGATATGTGGAACCCGTCACCACGCATGATTTGCAGACCATTTCATTGCCATGAAAACAGTGGTAATAGGTTTACAAAATGACCCATCATTTTCGTGGAATGGCTAAGACTACATTACCTATATTTTCGAATATACATTTTCTTTTCTATCACCTTGCATTCAGCGCTGTTTTGCTTTGCATGTCTATCTGTTGGCAGACATCGAGTTGCACTCGATATTATGTTCTCAGTCTATTCAAGTTGTTGTGTAATAATCCAGTTAACATTAATTTATATAGTAAAACAGTCTCATGTAGAGATTTGGGTGTTTTGTATTCACATTTCATGAAATAATTCTTTAAAGCAGATTTCTGAAAATAGTTCAAAATTATATTTAAAACAATTATTTTGTGCTGGGTTATTGATTTGTATCAAAAGTATTTATATAATGCAATATTTGAATGATTGTGTGGCCTAATTTAATTTTGGTTGCAAAGCAGACAATGAATGAATGCAGATAGTTGTCTTTTTTGTAGAACAGTTGGTAACTGGCCGTGTTTAAAGGAGAATATTATTCATGTTAGGGGAAGAGTTCGGTGATAATGATAACCTGGCTTTGCTTTTTACTAAGACACAAGGTTACTTCACACTATTAATTCATAACAGCTGTATTTAATGGTGTAGTGCATTTAACACGTACCAAACTTGTTCATTGTCAAGGTCACGTAGGTTTAAATTATTATCGCATTATTATTTTAACATTTTATTATATATATATATTCTAAATAATTTATTATTATGTAAGTAATTGATTAAACAATTTATTAAACTAATTCTGACGTTGGTACTATGTCTATACTTCACATTTTTGTTGTCAAGGTTACCCACTCCTATACTTCACATACCAAAAGTGTCGTCTACATATGTTAATGGTATATTAAGACACTGGTATACTAATAAATTTAGCGTCACCGAGATTGTAACGTAATGGTTTACAACAAATTCAACTGTAGCGCCAATGCACGTGGATATTTTAGTGCCTGGGATGTATGGTACGTATTTGAAACCAATAATTCCAAAGAATTGTATTCATGTTTTTTCTGGGCGGAGCTGCGTCACGTGTGGACCGTTTTATGTGTTGCTTGGACACGCACCACTGTGCCATGTATTTCTATGGGCTCTGCGCGAGCTGCTGTGGAACACCGGTCGAAGAGCCGGTGGTGAAAAGCTAAAGTCTAGGAAACAGCACAAAAAATAACCATGATACCATCCCGAACAGCCAAATTTGCATATTTTGAGAATGTAGGGATAACCTTGTTGCACTGCTCATGAAAATTCAACTACTACCGTGTCCTGAGAGTTGTTGGCTTTTATTTTCACCGGTGATGGTTGCCAGGCGGTGAAAATGCCCGGATGTTAGCCCGAGACTATGTGAAACCCACACTCAACACGGACTAGCATATCCGTCATATTTTGGTATGCGGACTTCATTTTCACGCAAGATTTATAGGTAATTAAAACGACACATTGTATGTTATATATGACTACACATTAAAATGTCAATAACAATGCTAATTTTCTGAGTGACAGGTAATAATTAAATATCCACGACTCAATAACGTCACGTTTACGGGCAACTACTGAATGTGAACGCCAGCGTCTGATTCAATGTGAGGTTCAGTGTACGTTTCATATAATACCCCTCTTTGCCATAAATTCCTTCCACACATCCCTCCTCAGCTCCTCTGTCATCACCAACAACACCGTGAGGAACTACCATTTATAAACAGGTATCTATATAGTTATTAATTGTATATGAGGTTTGAATTTTTGGAAATTATTGCGCTGTTTACGAATTATCACTCAAGCATCCGAGGAATATCGATTATCCGCATAAATATCGATCATTACCGAAGAATATCGGTTATCAACAATGAATATTGATTAGTAATAATATGATTTTGATAAGATACACTAACACGGCAATCACTTCCAAAAAATAATGACCCCCGTTGACCCTTACTTCAGAAGAATGCTTATGCAAAACAAGTACTGTTTGGTTTGAGGCCAGGTTATCACACGTTGTTATTGTACACAAGCTCGTATGAGCCCCAGAGAAAACTAAAATATCAGATAGTGTAGGTTTTCTGTCTGATTATCGGATATATTGCATTCTTTAACAGTTCACAGAATATAACTGTAAGCTATATAGTTCGCGTGTGGATATGTTGGAATTAGAGCATCTATGACGACGTGAAAGTTTGCAATCTTCTGAACCACTGCCAGGGTCGCGGCAATCGGGGTTGGGAATCAGTCAGACGGGCGTAAAACCGTCTTTCTCGTATACTGTTCCTAACTCCAGTGCACGTAAATGACGCCCCCGGAAAAAATGTTGCGGGCGTCGCCCCTCTCCCAAAATCAAGCTGAAGCCATTTGTGTTATGTTATGTACATCAGCGAATGTTGCCTCCCAAAATGCAGGAAATAGCGTTTCAGAAGGTCTTGACTTCAAAATGCCTCCGGATCCTCCTAGTATGATCGCGCGAGTGGTGGTGAGCAGATCGCGACCTCCATGCAACTGTTACAATTCGTGCCGCCGCCTCTGTGTATGCATTGAGTTGGGGATTGCCCCGGAATGACTAAACTTACCATCGTTCCAATATGCAATTGGATTTGTCGTTGATTTGCGTAATCAATAAATAAAAAATAAATTTCTCTGTAGTACAGTTGACATATCTAGGTTAAGGAATGCGGTTGCTACGTAACGTATTGTTGCGTAGTATACGCCGTGTTTATTCGCTATTTATACACATCGCATCACGTGAGTTGGTTGCAAACAAAATGTAAATTGCGAAAGATCTGTCTAGTCGATTCTCATTATGCTTCGTAAATTTGAAGGACTACGGCAGATTTGGGGACAGTGAGTACGATTTCAGGACTTTTGGTAAGATTGTTAGTGGGATTATTTGTGAGATATGATACTAGCAGCTCGTGAGATTTGAGCAGTTCGGGAACAGTCGGTAAGATTTGAAAAATGTTGTCAGATTTGAAGACAGTCGGTGAGATTTGAGGAATAATAGTGAGGTTTGAAGGATGTTTATAAGACTTGAGAAATGTCGGTGACATTTAAAGAATGCTGTTAAGATTTAGGACATTTAAGGAATTTTGATAAGAATTGAGGACTTTTGGTAAGGCTTGGGGACTGTTGACAAGATTAGATAAATGTTGGTGACATTTAAGGAATGTTGATAAGATTTGGCGACTGTTGATGAGAGTTTGGGTCTATTGTCAAGATATGAGGACTGTTATCATGTTGGTGCTGTTGATGAGCCAATTAGTAAATACCAACAGCGACTTGATAAGATCAATTATTTTCTTCGACATGTTGTCGGAATACATTAACTTTATTAGAAGAAGCAATGGCGTTTTTAGATATTGGAGGTTGTTAATAATTACTAAACGTTTAGCATTCGTAAACTGATATGGTGTCGGTTTATTCAGCTGTGGGTAGTCGGTACGCCACATTTGCTAGACACTTATAAAACTAGCCAGCGAAATAATATACCCTCGAGTGCAAGAAACAATACACTCAACATTTTTATTATGTGTGTGAATGTGTGTCAATATTATTGCAGATATAGCGGCTTTACTTTTTGTTTAAAGATTGACATCGTTAGACTTTACAGCAATACATCTACGACGATCGAATGCAAAATCAGACCAGATTATCAATAATTTATGTCAATATTGCAAAGAACAGTGTGGTCGTTTACAATCTGCACATCAATACATGTGATCGAATATATCTGAATATAAATCACGTGTAGTCGCTTACACTCGACAGACGAATACAATTGTGGTTGTTTACAATCTGCATATGTATACAATTGTGGTCGTTTACAATCTGCATATGTATACAATTGTGGTCGTTAACAATCTGCATATAAATGCAATTGTGGCCGTTTAAAATCTGCATATGTATTGAATTGTGTTCGTTTATAATTTGCAGATGAATACAATCGCAGTTTATAATTTGCGTATGGTCGCTTGCACTTTCCTTAATAATACCAGTGTGACCGATTTCATTCTATATGAATACAAGTGTGGGTGCTTACAATATGAATATGAACACATGAGT